GGGAAAAAAAAAAAAAAAAATCTCATTTCCCGTGTGTGCACAGTGCCCCCCTTGCCTTCTCACCAGCTCTCATCTTCCCTTTCATGCTGTCCCTTCACCCCTTCCTTTGCTCTCTCCTGCTGAATGGAGCTATTTAGTGGTGTACCCTCCTTTGCAGAAGCTGTTTCATCCCTGCTTGCACAGTTTTTAAAACTGCTTTCTCCACCCACCCTCAGTCTTGGTTTTTCATCTGTGCTGCTTCTTTAGGTTAACCATCTTTACAAAAGGAAAAGGCAGAGGAATCCAGAAACCTGAGTTTGGTTGCCATTACTCCAGTCTTTCCTCTTATCTTTTGTCTCCTCTTAATTTCATTATTATCACTGCTATTATTATTATAATAGCACTAGAAATGAGCTTCCTCATTAAACACTCCCTTTTTGCCATTCTGAATACCACTGTAGAAGCTGGAGGGGGGAGGAAGGGGGACTCAGAGAGTCCTTTTGCTGTTAATGCAGAATGAGACTCACACAAGGAACAAATGAACAAATGCAGTCCATCTCAAAAGCAAATGAGAGTTGTTTGGAGGGTTTTTTTTTATCAGCACTGAAGAAAATTATCAAATAGACTCGTTTCAACTACCCCTCAATGCCTTAGCCATGAAAGCATACAGAATATTTTAAAGCATACAAAAATACCCTTAGGGATGGTTCAGGACTTTCAGTGGCACAGGTGGGCAGGGAGCTGGATCAGCCTGTCCAGAGCATCCTTGCTGTGACCACAAGGAATGGCTCATCCCCTGGGCTCACCCCCTGCAGCACCCAGACATGGCAAAGGAGGGAATTGGCACCTTGAACAGAATTTCTTTGTATTTTATATTTTCAGCCCAGAAACAGAACGTGGTACATTAGCATTGATTCTGTGGTTTCATACCATTTTTTTTTAAGTAGTACAGAAAGGAAGGGGAAAAAGGCAGAAAGGAAAATAAATCATCCCTTATATACATTCAAAGCATACACAGCAACAGTTCCTTCAGCGCTGGGTGCACTGTGAGTGGGTATTGATGTTAGCAGCAAGAAAATGGATATTAGAGATCTGTAACACTGGTACTGCTAACCAGCTCAGGAAAGGTAGTGCTTTTGCTTGCCTTTCACTCTGTTTTATGTGCAAAAAGACAGTTAATTATAAAAAATAATGTTAATTACTTAATTATAAAAGGGAGATTAGTCCTATTAAGTAGAACATCAAAAAGGGAATATTTAAAATATTTCCCTTCCTTTGATATTCCCCAAGCATTTCATGGACAAAACGCTGTTCACAACTCACCCCAAAAGCATCCTTTTTTTTCTTGTTTTTTTGTCCTTTTGATTTTGGAGCCATTTAATAGGCCAAATAAGGGCATCAAAAGAGAGGGAATAACTTATCTCTGGGCAGTTGTTGAACATGAAATTTGGAAGAAAGAATTGGGGAAAATCTGTCCCTGCAGTTGCTCCAAATGCAGTACAAATATAATAACTCTCATATACACCAATGCAAGTAGCCTGGAGCAGGATGAATAACTGGATTTGCAATAGCTGGATTGAAATGACATACAGGCTCTTTTATTTCTTTATTACCCACACATATTTCATGTAAATTTTCAGCCTGGATGTGGGCACCCTGTGGAGTGTCTTCATGCCACGTAACAGCAGTGACACCCTCTTTTCTCCAACAAATATTCAGAGGGTGTCGAGATCTCCAGAAATCCTCTGGGGATCACCAGGAGCTTGTCTCCAGAAGGGATTACCCTTCTAGAGAAGATTTCTGCAGGAGGATTTTGAAATGCATCCTTTAATAAGTGCTGTGCTCTCCATGGAGGGATCCATCCATCATCCTGCTCAGGGTGCCAAGCCTTTGGTGGCCATCACCTCTCTCCAGGAGAAGTGGCAACAGGCAAAGCCCAAATCAGCTCTCACTCAAGAAGCCTTCCCTGCACCTTCAGAGGAAAATTCTCTGTTCCATTTACTTGGCTGTCAGTGCCAGATGCATGGAGCACAGAGGTGAATAAATTCCAAAAGCTGAATTGCTCAAATCTTTGCAAACGTAGCTGGAGGTTGCTAACACCAATAAACAGCAGGGATGACTCCAGAGGGGTGCAGTCACTCGTGTGTTTCAAATACAACCCACAAAAATGCTAAAAATACACAGAAATACAACCACGGGATGATTGTTTGTTGGTACCAGGCTTGTCTAAGGTTCACAGGGGCCAAACCATGACTGCACCATCACATTTCCTGATGGCAGCAAGGGGTCATTGTCAAAATAAAGGCAGTTCATATTTTGTTTTACCATATTCAGACAGTATTTTAATGACTTTGATTGATTTTGGAAGCTTCCTGGCAAGTGGCTGTACTCAAGTGCTGCCTGGGGGCTTGGGGAACACACAGCCCAGTCCAAAGTTAGAGAGCCAATTTTTCCACACTTAAATTCCCTATTGATTTCAGAGAAAGGTTTAATGGGGAAAATAAACATAGCTGAGCCCACAGTTAGCATGGCATAAAGCACTTTTGCTTCAAGCATGGTCAGGAACCCAAAGAGAGCAGGGGTTCTGTACCTTCCCTCTGCCCCTCCTGTTGGGTTTGTACATGCACACTCAACCCCTCAGGTCACTTGGGAGTTTCAGGATAGATCAGGCCCTTGTGGGCTCGAGGCACAGAGAGAGAAATGTGCATTTGTTTAAAGAGAGAAAAGCCTGGGTTTAACAGTGCTTGCTTGTTTGAAAGCTGGGGGTGAATTTGCAGTGGCTTTAGGAAAAAAATAAGCAGTTGATTTTCATTAAATTTTCTGTGACACTGTCCTCTCCCAGTACATAATCTCATTGCTTTCACAGATTATATTATAGTCTCACTGAGTAAAAATTTTGATTAAGAGGTTATTTTCATGTTTTATAATACATGCTATGAAATGTACCAAATAGAGGAAAATAAGTTCTGACTCCTTAAAAATAGTTTCAGTCAGAAAAGAAACACGAAGTCCACTTTTTACATTTAAAATTAATGGCTAAAACCTGCTGTACAAGAAAACAAAATATTTCTTCTGTGCCTGTTTTTCTGCTTTATAAGCCTGCTGTACCCTTGTAAGAGTAGACAGCACTTCAATGCAATGAAAAAGGAAAAAAAAAACAAACCTGTGTTACATTAAAACACATTTAAAATTTTGGAATTGTTCCTCTCTTGGTGGTAACCTGAGGATAGAGAAACATGTACAAAGCCTAGAAATGCCACCCAGTTCATTATCCATCACATTTTATTCACATGTAATGCTGTAGGAAGAAAATTTCAAGATGCTCTGCCTGATGTTATAAAACTCCCTCATCGTCAGTTAGTGCGAGAGGAGCTGCTGAAAAGATCAATCGTTTGCTTGTTCACATTCTGGAATGAAAAATCCAAAATACAAGGAAAGGAAGCCTTTATTTAAGGGCAGTCAGATAAAACAGCTGTGGGATTCTACATCATGAAATCACTGCTTCAATCCATCAATGCCATTTTTCAGTCCTTGGTGAGGAGGGTGCATCTGCCTCCAGCCTCTGCAGAGGTTTTGGGGTTGTTTTGTTAGGGGAAGGGAGGGACGCGAGCTGGGCTTTGCCAGCACTTCACTACAGCACCCAGAAGGGTGCTCTGAAAACTCCCTGTCCTACCCTGACAGTGGTTTTGCTCTTGAGTTTCACCACTGAGACCCAAATAATTGCTTTTGCTCTTCACCATGGCACCACAGAGCACAAAATGAGGGGGTATTTGCTCTTGGCATAGCTCAAAACAAGCATAAAAGTGGCAAATGCAAGTAAAAACCTTTAAATTTAGCTTTTTTTTTGGTTGGTTTTTAATATTAAAGAAAATTCGGATGAGCACATTTTGGCAGTGTTTCACTTGTTGGGGTTTTGTTGGTTGTTTTTTGTTAGAAAGTCCTCACAATATCATCAGTTTTGATACAAAATACTTTTAGGGGTTATAATGCAGATTTTATGGACCTTACAGCAACTAACAAGAGAGCTGTACTTAAAAATCCTCAGAAATCCTGTCCTAGTGACACAGTCAAAACTTCAGCCTTTCTGAGGTGCTCTGGCTCCTTGTTGTACTGACATCCAGTTACAGGTAGCACATTAACAAAAATAGAATTCCAGTGTCATGCTTCATATCTTCAGCAACATGATGTACGTGAATGTGTGCTAATTACAATGGGAAGCCACCTGGGTCATTTTAAGCTTTCTATTTTACGTGGCTTCTTTGCTCCTCTACTTTTCATTTCAACACTCAGCATGAAGAGAGAGGTTAAACTGTTGCATTTTGTATACAGGGAACCATTCATGTAATATACACCAGTCTGTAAAAACTGTAAATGCTATTTTTTTTTATTTTAAACAGTTTTCTTAGTTTACAAAAGATCAATAATTGGTACCTTTTTTTTTTACACTCTCAGATTCCTGAATATTGACAGATCTTCAAAGGGAGTATTAGCATATGAAACCTTAAGATTGGCCGTCCTGAAGGTTTTTAAGACACGATAAAGCTAAAATATCAAGTCTTTTGGACAGCCCCTCTTAATTTGGGCAGGGGTGCACGTCAGAAATCACCAGCAAAGCCCAGCACCCCCCCTCCCACCCCGTGCCACTGTCTGCCTGCACGCTGTTATTTGGTTGCACACTGTTTAAATCCCAAAGGAAAATCACACCTCGCATTCCCTCGCTGGCTGCTGGTGACAGGAGCAAGATCCGTACTCATTAATGATCACCAGGGCTCCCTCAATGTGGTTGGGTTTGTAATCAACATAATACTCCTGGGCTGACATGGCAGCCATTTGGTGCATGGTCTGTTTCTGCTTCTGCTTCCTGCGCTGTGTGACAAAGCACTGTCTTAGTTGCCTTAAGCCGGCCGGGAAGCACTTCCAGGAGACGTACAACACCAAAACCACGATGAGGAAGGAAAAAATCAGTGCCATGGTGCCCGTCACCACCTTGTGAATCTGCACGGCGTTCTCGGAGTTCTCGCCGGGCATGGTGATGGTGACGGCGTACGTGGTCCGGTCCTCGTCGCCGTCGGGCGCGTCGTAGGTGGCGGTGGCCGAGCCATAGCCCAGCGTCTGCTCGCTGTTGTTGGTCACCGGGGAGAAGGTGTTGACGCTCGTGGGGTCGGCGTCCTCGCACAAGTGGAAGGCGTACACGGCGTCCAAAACATCCTCTCCCTGGGCGTACTCGGGGGTGGCACAGAGCAGGTTGCTGTCGTAGCGACCCTGGAAGTTGCTGAGCCAGGAGGCCAGGGCGCAGACGTTCCGGCTGCAGTCCCAGGCGTTGGCGGAGAGGCTGATGCTCGTGAGGGACTTCCAGGAGTCGAGGACTCGGGAGTCGATGTAGGTCAGCCGGTTGGAGTCCAGCTGCAGGGATTTGAGATGAGGTACACTTTCGAAAACGTGAGGTTCGATGTATTCGATTTCGTTGCCGGAGAGATCCATCTTTTCGAGTTGCCATATCCAGTCCAAAGTGTTTACTACGATGGTAACTTTATTCCTTCGCAAGCAGAGGGAGTGCAGGGAGATGAGCCTGGGAAAATGGGCTAAATTCACTTTCACCAAGTCATTGTGCTCGAGGTGCAGCTCAGTGAGTTTGAACAAGCCAGCAAAAGAGTTTCGAGCCAGGCTCTTTAACTGATTGTATCCTATGTCTAGAAACTTCAGGCTGCGACAGTCCTGAAAAATTCTCACCGGCACGAACTTGATGGCGTTCGACCGCATGTGCAAAGTTGTCAGTTTTCTCAGCCCGTGGAACAGGTCAGGCTCCAAAGACTGCAGGTTGTTGTATGATAAATCCACACTGCGCAAGTTTGGCATGGGGCGGAAAGTGGTGTTGGGCAGTTGGGTTATTTTGTTGGAACTCAGGGTGAGCTCTTTAACTCGCCGCAATTTTTGAAAGGCATTCCCCTCCACTGAGCAAATGTGATTGTGATCCAGATAGAGCCACGTGAGCTGCATTAACCCTGTGAACTGTCCATCATGCAGCTCTGAAAGGCTGTTGTACCGCAGAGACAAGCCCATCATGCCCGACAGGTTGCGAGGCATCTCTGTGAGATTCAGTGATTCACAGTACAAAAGCCTGCCCTCACACCGACAGAGCTGTGGACACCCACTATTCACAGCTGGAAGCATTTTAGAAAAGATACCCAGCGTACACAATATCAACCCCGGGGGCTTCCTCAGCAGCCAGTTTAAACAGAGACCAATAAGAAGGAAATCCATTAGCAAGAATATTTCCAAATAGGCTTGAGAATGTCCATTGAGTCTTTTCAAATTCTACATCATATTTTATTTAAGGGAGAGAGGAAAAAAAAAAAAAGGCAAACCAACGAAACAAAGCCCGAAAACCAAAGCAAAACAGCAAACAGAACAAACACAGAGGCAAATATTTCACTTTATAGCATGCAGGAGCTGTGCAGCATTAAAGTTCACAGACATTCAAAGGTAAAATGATAGTGATTTTGTTCATTTTAAATGCTGCAGCAAAGGAAAAAAAAAAATCTTTCTTCATGAAAGAATTTAATTAAAAAGTGTCTTACCCACCCTTTTCCAGAGAGTGACAACCTCCATTCAGTTGCTTCCTTTGTGTTTGGACTAATTATATGCAGAGCTAAAAAAGACCCCTCTGTGCTACAAATTCAGTCCCTTTCAATGTTGTGCAAGGCTGGCAAGCTCACAATGTCTCACTTCGCTTCTGCTCAACGAGCGAAAGGCTTGTCCAGCTAGCTTTTGAGCTGCCTCCTAGGACCTGCAAGTTTCAGAACTATGTACATGAGCTTGATCTTCTCCTTCTCCCTCTGTCCTTTCCACTGCAGTTAACACTGTGGCGTGAAAAAAACTCCAAACTCTTTACTAACGACTCCACAGGATTTGTCAATCTGTTTAATGTCCATCATTTGCAACGAGCATGGACCGGCACAACCTTTACTCCAGAGAGAGGTTACCATTCATTCACAGACCGGCTAAGGGTCGCTTTATTTCCCATTCTTTGTTCGCTTTGCTTGTTAGGTGATGCCTAGAGCAGAGAGAGACAGCAAGAATCCCTTCCCTTCAGCTGAGCAGTATGTTGCTAGAGCATGCAGAGGCACCCAGTGTTCACTGAGTGTCGTAAGCTGCTCATGATTGTACGCCTGCACTGTGCATCTCAGACATGGGCAGATTGAAAAGGGGTGGGCATAAAACCAACATCGGAGCGAACCAGGAAAGTAATATATGCTCTTTGATGAAATGGAAAATACTTTAAGCCTATCTCGCCATTTCTCAAACAGGCACGCACACACAGCCGCACAAATCATCAAAAGCGAGGCAGTGCTAAGTAGGAAGCTTGAGAATTAGGATTCTTTCTTCTTGTTTTTTTTCCCTCGGATGCTTTTGTTTAAAGTCTGAATTTATAAGCTATTAGCCGGGAGAGGGAGAGACTCGATTACTTGGTTTGGGAAGGAATATGTAAACCAGTCTTTTTGGATTGCTTTTTCTCTCTAATTCTGATGATGAGATTTGCCTTTTGGTCTTTGGGTGGGGGATTGAGGAGTGTGTGGGGGGGAAATGTGTTTTTTTTTCTTCTGACATTGTCTAAATAGAGCATGATTTGAAATTCTGTGCATTCTTTCTCATAGAAATGCAGCCAGAGCTCTGCAAATAGGAATGTCTCATTTCATATAAGCTTTAATTACATTTGGTCTTTTTCCATCCTGCATATTTTGTGTGTTCAGCACATGCCTTTCCTAAAGGCTTTTTTTTTTTTTTTTCCTTTTTCTTTGCGGTGTATGCTACGGCACACAGAACTCAAATTCTAGCAGCATAGAGATTACTGTGCTTTTTGAATAAGATCAATGCATAGGTGGCTGTGAGTGTGTCAGCAGCATGCAAAGAGAGGGTTTCAAACCCTATTAGTTAATAAGTTTAGCAGATCGTGCTGATTTTTGTTCCGTGTTCCAAGAAAAAAAAAAAATCTTTGCTGGGTAATTTTCAGTCCTCGTTCTCTATGGGAAAGGCATCATCAATGAGCTCTGTAATTTTTACTGACTGAAAAATGTACGGTATTTCTGTCAGGAAAACGCTGGCCATCTTTTCCTATTGTGAAATAGAATCTCAAGCCCCTGTGCTGGTGAGAGCGATCGGAGCTGACAGCTCCCAATTCTGCATCAATACCCAGTGAAGAAGTTCCACACGGATTTTAGGATGCAAGCATTGCAGAGGATCGTGCTGATTTTTAAGTGGACATCGGATGCAGAATGCTGGAGGGACAGGGCAAAACCACTGTGTTTGCTTTCTTTTTTCACAGCTGTGTTAATTTAAAAGCAATTCCTTGTTTTGGTGGTGTCTGTTGCAGAGCTAAACATTGTGTGTGAGTGTGGCTGCTGTGAGTGTGTGCTGGGAGAGATCAAGGAATGCAGTAATTTGATGCAGTAAAAGTTGCTTTGCAGAAGTCCTGGCAAACTTAAAGCTCTTGTGCATAAAAATAAAAATGTGTGAAGGAGATTGATTACTAATGGATTTGCCAGAAACAGTCTTAAATAAATTACAAATATAAACCATTTAAACTGTGGTTTCAGAACCTGGGGATCAATGTGCTTTTATGCTCCCTGTTCGGTTTATTTACATTTTTCTGCTCTTCACAACATTTCAAAGTGGTCTCAAAGCAAAAATGTGATGCTTTAATAGTAAATGAGCCTCATCTATGTTTTAGCATTTGGGCAGGAGAGCTGAAGGTGGTTTTCCTCTCCCCAGATCATGCAGTTTTATTCAAAGCAGGCTGTTTATGCAAGTGTCCACTGGTTGCAGTACACCTTAATTCTGTTTCTCGGTACACAAAAGCAGGAGGGAAAGCAGTGACAGAACCGACAGAAAAAGCATTGGAGCAGGAGAGACTAAAAAAACCCACCCAAGAATATATTCCAGATTGCCTTGATGAATATTTTGGTGCAATTAGCAGGGAGAAAAAAAATTAAAGGATGACTTGAACTTAACAGATACTGAAAAAAGCTTCAAAGCAATGAGGTTGTGTCCCTTAAAAATCTGCAACCCTACAAGTCTTTTTTTGGGTGAAGCCTTAATGCCTTCTCCCATGTAAAAATTTGGAGAGAGGTCTGCAACAGCTGCCCTGAAAATTTCAATTATATCTTCAAGGAAAGCTACCATTTTCTGCAAATCAGATGATGATAAGGATCACTTAGTTACCATTTAAATGCTATGTATAAAGACAACTTCTAGTAGAGATGAAGCTCCCTGATACATCACTGAAGAGCTGAATATTTTTATTTTTTTTTTCACTGCTTCTCCTTGTTATCACCTGGGATACGGCTTGGATCCCAACCAATGTGCCTGTTCCCACTCTGGCATATAATCCATTATCATTTGGTTTTCAAAGGCAGGAATTAGAGCAGACAGTAGCAAACCTGGATAGCAGCAGCTGGAAGAGTGACAAGCAGAATTAGGGGCCCAGAATTAATGGCCCTAAGTGCACTCTCCCAGAGCTCTAACCGAGGGCTGCTGAAGAGGAAACTCTGCTCTTATCCAAAATTTGGTTGTAAAAAAGAACCCAGGTAGTCTTCAGATGAGAGACCTCAGTGTATGTTTGAGGCTCTGATGTTGAGGCACAGAAGTGACCAAATTCAAGAACTGGGGCATCTGAAATGTCTTTTGTAAATTGGTGTCCTACTGCATTTTTGCAATGTACCCTTTTTGCAATCAAACCAGGAATCCACTTTGAAGATGATTGTAATGCAAAGAGCTTAATTTCCACTGTCTGAGCTGTTATCACAGCCAAACTGTTAAGTTTACACATTTTCTGAAGTTTCAAAGCCTCTGGCAAGTCTCTATAAATTAGCAGATTTAAATTAGCTTTATTAAATGTGCTATTATAAAACATTTTAAGAATGGCCAACTGTGTGTTTAAAGGAGCTTGATTAAATCAATGTGAAGTAGGTTACAGAAGAACAACATGAATAAAGTTTTAGAAAGTTTAGGTGGGAAGCTTGTTCTTGTAGTCATGAAAAGTATAATGCAGTGGCAGCAATGGTCAGAACTGTTCAATCGGGAAAGGAAAAACAATGTATTTCAATTTATTTCAATGTGTTTGCTCTACACATTTTTAATAGTTTGTTCAGATTAATCATAGAATCATCAAGATTGGAAAAGACCTTTAAGATGATCCAGTCCAACCATTAAATCTCCCATATAACTTAACTGGTCTCAGAATCATTTAATTCTTGTTAATCCATTGGATATTCCTTTAATGTTTGTGCCTGGATATTTTGCAATCCAGGACAGATGGGGTTGGGACAGAGTGCCTGAGATCAGAATGTGGCTGCTGATGTCTAACTCTTCATACACACATCTTTTCATAAATTCTCCACCAAAATATGAAAAGGCATAACAACCTATTAAATACTGAGTGTACTTCTTCCTTTTGGCATTTTCTGAGTGGTTTATATCAGAATAATAAAAAGTCATGCTTTTAGTGATGATTTTAATTTCCTTTCATGAATGGAAGGACTAAACCTTGAACTTTGGTAGTCTTTCTTTAATTTTCAAGTGTGCTGAACCATGACATTTTGCATAAAAGAAACATTTAAAAGCAGAAAAGGGGGGAAAAAGATATGATCTAAGGTAAAGCAAACTACATCTGTTATTTCTCTTGAATTTCTCTTGGTCATCCTGAACATTTATTGGCTGCCCATTCTATATAAAATTATAGATTATAACATTTATTGGCTGCCCATTCTGTATAAAATTTAGGATTTCAGCTGATAAGAAGTCCGGTTCTATAACATGTCTGTTTTAGTAGATATAAAAATGAGTAACATTATACAAGATTTTGACCAAAATAATCCTGCTGGCTCCAGATGTCATTAAATTCTTACAGTACCTGACAGGCACATATTGGATTTGTTGCTCCCTTTAAAGCACAGACATTCTTATGTAAATGACCTTTTTGTTTTTGACAAGGTGATAAACATTTCTCTGTCTCATTGCAGTTATTCCATCCTCATCAGCCACATTCACGTGCAGGTGGTCGTGCACAGCTCTAGAAGGTCACTGGCAGAAGAGACCCAAGTGCAGAATTGTCAGAGCAGGGCAGAAATGTCAGCTTTTAGGACAACATATCCAGAGTATGAAAAAGTAACTCTGTTTTCCATCCATGACTGATAGACTACTTGAATAAGCTAAAAAAGGATTGACTTTCTAAAGTAGTTGTGAAAATAGCTTTGATGTCTGGTCATGATGGCAAAACTCTTGATAGAGTGACTGTTCCAGGGGTAATGGGAAAAAGACAAGAAGGAAAATGATCCTTTTATGATTAATCAACACATGAAGATCATGCAACATCCTGGCTAGGCAAAGGCTGCTGTGTTACGGTCATGTTACCAGGCTGGTGGAACTCCTGGTTTGCAGGAAAAGTGAAAATTTAAACCTTGGGTTTTGATTAACCCTTGCTAATTTATTTCTCTAAAAATGTCTTAGGAAATCATGGAGGAAGCAGCTGTGGAGTGCAATGATTAGCAAGCGTGGAGGTTTTAGTTGGTCACACTTGTTTGGAAATCAATAAATTGCACCTTCAGAAGTGCTAAGTGAGACACTCCACAAAGGTTGGTCTCACAACCTTCCCAAGCATTTCTGGAGGTACCAGCAATAAACTGTAATTAATTTCCAATTCTCTTAGAGGCAGAGAGGGCCACAGCTTATCCACATTCCTGAATACATCTCCTGTGTCCTCTGCTACCGTTAATAGTTCATCTGTGAGGGTTATTTTTGATTAACTCTGGTGCTAAACAATATTTTATTCATGCTTTGAGACTCATACTGACTTAGGGGTTCTGTTCTTCCATGGATGTTGCTTCTCCAGCTGTTTCACCTGGGGCTGGTCAATTGGCTGGTCAGTTGGCTGGTTGGTTGGTTGGTGGGTTGGTTGGTTGGTGGGTTGGTTGGTTGGTTGGTTGGTGGGTTGGTTGGTTGGTTGGTTGGTTGGTTGGCTGGTTGGTTGGTTGGTTGGTTGGTTGGTTGGTGGTGTATTTGCTCAGACTTACCAAGAGGTTGGATGAAGTGACACAATAGAGGATTGTTTAGGACTGTGAAAAATCCCCCTGTAGCCAAACTGGTTATGGCCCTAAACCCATCATGTTTTACCAATATTTTGT